CTTACGAAACTAATATTCCCACATTATTATTTGATTTTTTTTAGTTTTGTACGTATTTCAGAAATTCCATTATTTTTATATGCTCTAATTACATAATGCTTATAAAATGACAAAAAGAATATTTAAAATTGGTACTAGTGAAAAGAATATTAAAATATTCAACCTGCTAATAATTTTGTGAAACAAAATGTACGAATATCCTTACACAAGTCAGTTTTTTATTCATTATTAATAAGTGAAGTTTTAAAAATAGCGTTTTATTTTGTAATATACTAGATAATTATTTCAGAAATTCCAGTACCAAATTTTGGCTTTATCAAACAAGTAGTTTTATGTATGAATATTTTTTTGTGAAATACTCTAATTTATTAATTAACATTAGATATTTATCACATCAATAATCATCACACAATTGGGATGTTATCTGTCTGCAAATTTGTTTTAACGAAACAATTAACCGTAAGCTTGGAATGGTAACTGAAACATTGATTCGCCTGTAACTGCTCAGCAATTGAGTAATTTTAAAGACTTCTAGAACGCCTAACTGAAATATCTTTCAAAATACGTGTAACATTACATTTACAGTATGTTGATTTACTTCATCGCTTGTCATTTAATCTAATCTTAAGTTTCACAAGCAATTCGACATTCCTCTCTCAGGAAACGCTTTTCTTGTGTGTTTATATAGCTAATCACGAGGTCAGAAACTTTCAGAGTTACAAAATCCTGTGAGTCACATACTACATATTAGATAACCATCTTAGTTATCAAACAGCCATACACCAATTGATACTATTCCACGTTGTATCATGTAGTATGTTTCCTATAATTTTATTTGTATAAGCATGGCGAATTTTACATATTTTTAAAAACTTCCTATTCAAATGACGAACAATATTAAATAAGTCATTTATTGGATATGTTTTCTGTAATTAACTTATTGCAAAACCATTTAGTTCAAATTTAAATGTTAATAAAATATGCACACAGCATAACAAAATGTAAATATCTTAACCACTAATGACTAATTTCAAATTCGCTCTTAGAGTTATTTTAAAGTATCTTAAATGTGGACTTCCATATGGTGATTTTTTCAGTTTCAACTTTTTTAATAGATTTGTCTAGTTGTTTGTTTCATTTTAGAGATACCGATATATTTCATGTGTAGAATGTCTTTTTCCGTACAGTGGTCTTCGAGATCATTTCAATGGCAGGTACGTAGTTCACCGTGTAAAATGTGGCAGTGTTTCTCAGCTATGCATAAATTGTTAACTAAAAACAATAATAAAAATATGATGTATCATCCAACAGTCACTCGGTGGTTCAGCAGTGAGCTTCAGAGCCTTATAACACTGAAATCTGGATTCAATTTCCTGTGGTGTGCATATGGCCGATAACCTATTGTGTCGCTTTATACTGAAACAAACAGATATCGCCTAATAACAAATGTCTTACTCCATTGTTATTAATCAATATATTTATAATTAAAAATACAACTACATTTATAAAATTAATTAATAACAAATATTTATTTCTAGCAGAGTATAATAATCGGGATGTTGTGTTAACTGTTCGGGACTCGAATCCAAATAGCTCAATCGGTAGGGCATCAGTTCGAGAATATTAATAAAGTTCTAAAATTTAGTCTCGGTCAGGAAAACTTATTAATATCATGATTTGTTAAGACAGATTTAATAACAAATGATTCACAAATAGGTGAATAATTCACATTTAATTATTTTAAAACAAAAAACTAGAATTTTGTTTGCATATGTTCAAACAGCCAGTTGGAAGACAAAGATGAATATATAAATTTTCTCATACAAATTACTGAATTTAGTCTTATTAAGTGTAATAGTGTTGAATGTGATTTCACGTCTCAGACCATTACACGTATTTCTCTTGAAATTTTGTCGTTATTTTCATGAGCTCGTGCTTTTCAACCCAACATAATTTGATCTGTAAATCAAGCAGAAATATGAAAAAAATTGCTTGAAAAAAATATCATAAAATATAAAAGGAATACAATTTCATAGGACATTAGAAGATCAATATACTTTTAGCTGTTCCATTAAACCATTGTTTTTCAAACTGTGGGGCGCAGGAGAGGCAAAAAATAACGACGAAAGAAACAGACAGGTTCGAGTAAACGATAACCTAACAAAACTGTCACTTTGCTCTCAAACCTTTTTTAATATATTAATCTCGCATTTACTTACTCCCTACAAGCATTTTTGATTTAAATATATATATATAAAATAGCTGAAGAAAATATTAATTTTGCGAATATTATTTTGATATGAAGGAGGTGCAATGGAAGTTTGCTGAGTTAGGAGGCGCCGCTATTTAAAATTTGGAAAATACTTCATTATACATTGATTTAAACTGTTGACTGTGTTTCTTCTTAGCTGTAAATGAGCATTTTCAAAGTATTGTTACTTTTGTTGTTAAGCGTAGAGATACACAATGGACACAGCTATCTGTACTATACATATAATCACAGTCATAAAACCCGGTTTTTATCCTTATAAGTCTTGAGACTTACCGCTGAGTCACTGAGTGTATTTTCAACGTTAATAATTATAATTATATACGCAAAATGATACAACAGAATCATCTACACGTTAAAATTGTTTGCCCGTGTCGTGTAAAGATTCATAAATTAGTCTAGCATTATTGTGGCATTTGGGGGACTGCCAAGTGTTTCTAACAGAAATATGGTAAATTAATACAACAATGTGAATTCATGATATATGACCTCTAACGTTTTTAACTCGTAAATAACGCAACACTTAGCCGATGTATCTCAGATCAATTGTTTGTTTTGAATTTCGCGCAAAGCTACACGAGGACTATCTGCGCTAGCCGTCCCTAATTTAGCAGTGTAAGACTAGAGGGAACGCAGCTAGTCATCGCCACCACCCACCTTCTTGTGTTACTCTTTTAGTGAGATTGACCGTCGTATTATAACGCCTCCACGGCGGGCATGTTTGCGAGTCGAGCGCCCTAACCACCTGGCCATGCCGGGCCTAGTCAGATCAATGTCTGTGACAACTATCTATTTATCAAGAAATTGATTACTTTCTGTTGAACAATTAAACCTTATAAAAATCTGATTTCTAAGAGCTATGAAAATAAATGAATCGTATACGTGGCGAACACGTTTGAAGACATGTCAAGTAGCTTAAATATATTTGTCGCAGTGTTTGTTTTTCGTTGCGTCTTTTTTCTCCTTTTCTTAGTGGCCGAGCCTACCCTCATTTTCAAATTATTTTAGGCAGGACTAGAGTAAATTAATATATGAGACCTGGGGCGTGGTAAAATACATCAATTGAAAGGGTTTGACCTCCTGAGTCCAAAACTGTAATTAAGTCTCAAATCGGTCAAGGGATGATGGAGCTATGAGCTAAAACTTTGTTCTTGAAAACCTCAGAGCCATTCTATGAGCCATTATACCGCGGCTAAAAAGTAATATTTCATTGTTTCAGAAGTATTTGAATCGTCAACTTGTTGATATCAAATTTCGGAGCAGAACAGTGAATGAGTCATGAGCAAACAAAGATTGCGACTGGCTTAGTTATAAACTCATTTTTAACTATTATCGCTTGGAACGTTCTATCAAAATAACATATGAGCCGATTGTAAGCTACACAGCTGCTATCTGTGCTCTGCCTACCATGGGTATCGAAACCCTGTTTCTAGCGAATATTTTAGGTAATTAAATAAAATATTCGTTCTTAACTAGCTTTGTGAATAAACACACACACACACAGTCATATAAACTTAAATCATACTCTGCACAATAGTTAAATAACCATATTATTTTAGTAGACATTAAGTGGATATGCGAAGCTTTCTCATTTTGGTTAACCCCTAGCTTTAGATACTTTTTATCTATAATTTAGTCATTTTGGTTAACCCCTAGCTTTAGATACTTTTTATCTATAATTTAGTCATTTTGCTTAACCCCTAGCTTTAGATACTTTTTATCTATAATTTAGTCATTTTGCTTAACCCCTAGCTTTAGATACTTTTTATCTATAATTTAGTCATTTTGGTTAACCCCTAGCTTTAGATACTTTTTATCAATAATTTAATGATTGTATAAAGACCACCAGGCAGACATAAATGAGTAAAAAATTTTTTTTGAAAAGTTTGTAGCCAGATATATTCCGAAGATAATATAATTTCTCATTCAAGTTACTAAAACTTATTTATTTTGGTTGCGTAAGGACTCTCTATCGCCTACTATATTAGATTATTATATCAGTAAAACTTTATCAAAATACATAAAAATATATAACCAAATAAGAAAATAGCTTATAAAACCATTTTTCTATATTTAGTATCAATAGTGATATTTTTTTACTTACAGATATTCTAGCAAACTTATATTATAATACTATTATATGTGCCTGATTCTGATTGGTAGCTGTTCAAAAACTCACTATCTTTGATTGATTATCGCCATTTTGAATATAAGTATAACAACTTAAGTAAATAATTCTTGCTTCTCAGCACGTTTTCATATATATCATTATTTTTAAAGTAGGAGTAACAACGACGTAATTTGACAATAACTGTTCATCTTAATTAAACAATCAGTGTTATTTGCTGTTGTACCACCTATACTCTCTAGCCAAGATGTTTTATAAGAACTAAAATACAAATCCAAGTGTCTTAATACATAATTTAACATTTTGTTATTGTGGGCAAAAAAAAAGTTATATTGCGTTGCAAAGGCCTCTATCCAGTAAATGTACACAACTGTATACTTACGTAATACGTAAAGCAAATTACACATTATGGGCAAACATTTAAAAAATATATTAGTATGTTGTATATACAGCTGAAATTCATACGACAAAATTACTACTTAAGTATCAATACTTCATTGTTATTATCAAAAACGGTTAGTACCTTGCTTACTAATGATGTTTTTAATGATTTCATCTTAGTAAACGCTGATTGGCTATTGTATAAAAAAACTTTATCAGATATCTGAACAAACGGTTTTAGGCGCCATATGCATTTTTAGTCCTCTGTCCAAGGTCTCATGCGGAACAACTATCCTCTTCTGCCTGATAACTCAGAAACCAGAAAGTATGTTCTTTCATATATTTTACGTTTGTGGTTAAAAGTAGTTCTAGAATCAAGTTCATTCTTCTAAAGCTAAAATAATTCTGATTTTGTTTTCTGTTAGTTTGACGATAGATCTATACGCAATGGATGTTAACTAGTTATACGTACTCTAGTAATATTTTCTTTTCAACTGACTGTTTAAAAATATTATAAATAGGAAAATTGCTTGTAGATCTGTGTTAATTCCTGTTTGTTGTTAAGCGCAAAGCTTCAAATGGTCTATCTGTGCTGCGGCCACCGTAGGATTCAAACCCCGAATTTTAACATTTACAAGTTGATTATTAATCTAGAAAGTTAAAAAAAAATTAAAAATTTTCTTTTAAGACTATGTTCTTAATATGCTTCTCTGCCTCAAATACAGAACATCTGTGGAATATGTACTGTTACGCGCTCGCTAATTCCGTGTGCGTAAAGTTGTGACAAAAATATTACAGAGAAAGAGTTAGCTTTAAATTTAAATTTCACTTAAATGTAGTACCAAAAATAATTCTATAAAATTCCAACTTAACATTTCAAATTGGAAAACCAAGAGGCTGTAAAACTAATGCTTGAATCTTATTTGGTGCAAGCTTTCAAAGCGGTAAACAGTCTTACTTCAGTCGTATATCACTTCCACTAACTTTCCACTTCAACGGTTTTTTTTGTTTTTTTTTGTTATATTTTTCAGTATATAGAGAAACACATGTATAACGCAAGCGTACCTGTGTATCGAACCTCTACTTGTATTGTGTATGGCCATACAATTTATCAGTTACTGTTTGTACTACCAAGATAACTATATACTTTTGTTCAAAGTTCATTCAGTGCAGTTCCAAGAGACTAAAAGCTAGTACATTTTAGGTATTAACTTTTTTATATTTTTTTACTTTTCAAAAACTAGAGACAACAATAAAATTTTAGTATAAAAATATAATCAGACTTTTAGTTTTTTGGTTAAACTATGGTGCTTTCTCCTAACTTTTATCTCTTTGTAGAAAATTGTCACAACCTGAAAAAACTTTGAGTTTTTTTAAACTTATAGTACTTTGTCCTAACTTTCTTCTTTGTAGAAAATTGTCCCAATGCAATTTGGTGTCTTCTCTAAATGCTACTTCTTTGGAAATGTTAATTTTGTCCGAAGTATATATATAAGTTTAGTCTTTCGTTCTTATTATTTAACAATAAAATTCTGTAGAATGCTTCGAACCAAGTAAATAGAACTAAATGGGGTTAGCTCAAGAGTCATGGCATAGATAAAGACAGCATATTAAATTATGCCAGGCGTGGCTCACTGGTTAGGATACCAGACTCAAAATCCTCAAAATTGCGCTTTGGAACCGTGAAACGCGTTATAAGATTGGCAGTCAAATCCAACTATACGATTAGAACAGCCCAAGAGATGGTAGTTAGTGTAGTCAGTCGTTTCAAAATCAAGGTTGGCTATTGCAGATGGCTCTTCTGTAGCTTTGCACAGTTATCCAAAATAAACAAACAAACTACTGTTTTTAAATGTTAATAATTTTGAGACAAATAAAAATTATGCGAAATATTAATTGTTTTTTCAGAGCCATGAAACCTAGTCGTATGCCTCCCCCTGGTAGCTCAGTGGTAAGTTTGAGGGCTTATAACTAAAAAAGTTGGTTTCTCGAAATCTGCGGTAAGCAGGGCACAGGTAGCACATTGTTTAGCTTTGCGCTTGAGAACAAACTTAATTGTATAGCTTCCCCCTGGATATATATATATATATTAGATATATTTTTAAAGTGTGAATCCAACTAAAATCGTATAATTATTCCTACTGTGTATCAAATAAAAACGTTCACAATACGATGTACCTTGAAAATTAAATCCAAAACCTCTAAAACAAGAGCTAGCTCTATTTCGCTGAAGGTAAAATGAAAATTTAAACGAAAACATTTTTATGTGTAGAACATTTTGATATAAATTATCAATATCTATTTCCTAGGAAGTCCGCGGGTCATCTCTCAATCCAAAAAAAAAAATTCATTTGAAAGCCATAATATCGGAAATTTTATTTGCAATTTTCGAAACTCTTTGTTGTATTAAGATATTTCAAACAGAATAAATACAATTCGTAAACTCAATTATTACTTTTTACCTTCTTATTCCGAAATAGAAGCAATTATGTTGCAAAAATTAAAAACAAATCAAACTCCGTGTTCGCTGAAAACAACGCCAATGCCTAGGATAAATGTCCCAATTTGTACGTTTAAGATTAATATATCAAAGATCATTCACTAGCTGTGGTAAACATAGAAAGCTAAACACGCTGACAGATGCAATAGCATTAGTGTACATACCTGCTTAAACCAATGTATTTTCATTGAGAACATTCAGAGCAGCCCCTAAACAGTTATGAGACTTACAACATTTAATGTGTCATTTTCCTCAGTAACGTAGCAATAAATTTCTATGTCATATTAATATTTATATTTACGTTTTATGTCTGTAACAGCTACTTATTGCATGAAGTAACTCTTCAAAACATTTCAATAGATTGTGTTGGACGTAAATTTATGTTAGTCAGCACAAGGTGTATATCTAACCACTCTTTACTATAGCAAGGAGTTCCCTTTGTGTTACAAAGTAGTTCCTCTCTGGTCTACTCAGGAACCTACAAAGCATTTTGATATTTATTCATAATTATAAAAAAAAACATCATACTAAAAGAACAGCAGCAATTTATGAAATATTATAGGTACATATATGGTTCATTTTAAATCAACATTACCCGCCAAAATTTGGATCAAGAGCAACCGTTAAAGATTATCTATTTATGTATTTTATGATTAAACCAAAACCCATTTATCGTATTATTGCACACGAAGATATCATGGATCAATTTAGGTGTGGATTTACGACACTCAATTTTATACCATGCAATAGCAACAGACTCGCCCCAGTTAGAAGACGCCTTTGTGTTTAAAATATTTATAGAAACATTTAATAAAAAAATCACTAAAGTTTCAACTGTTGTAGCTCAGATAATTTAGTTGGTAATTTTAGTACCATATAAAAAGGGGTATAAACAAAGCATGTCGGGAAGTTACTATTTTGATGTATAATCATTTAAATAATTACTCAAACCTTTCTAATTCAACTGTGTGCTCTTTTTTTATTATAACAAACATGAATTCTTCACATTTATATTGTGAATCGTACTTGAACAGCAACCAAATTAACCTTATTGTAATTCAAAAACATCATGAAAGTGTTATACCGGTGTTTTTGTTTTGTACTTTATGTCGAAATTTTTACACCTTTTCAAGTAATTGAAAGTATATTTGTTTTTCATTAATTAACAGATTGTTCCAGCGACAAAAAAAGATGAAGTTGTTTTCTTTGCTGTTTGTTTCAGGTAAGTTTCTATGTTTCTGGCATCCCAGTATTTAGTATTATCTTTATTTGATTTTTTTCTTGCTACACAAACACAGGTATTTGTTATATAGTTTCAGGACCGGTTAGCCTTTTGGGGACAAGGGCAGAGGCTAAAGCCTGAGCTTCCTCTATTGCGCATCCGATTAATTTCGCTGCTAACTTGTTTACACCATACGAATAAAACAATATAAAACCTGTACAAACCAGTATTCGTTTTCGTTTACAATGTTCACTTCACATTGCTACAGATAATCAACCAATCAATTATTGTTGTTATGGAAACTTAGCATGATTTTCATTTATACAAGATTTGTACACATGGTAATAACATGTAAAATCAGTAGCCAAATTACAGCTAAAATATTAATTAAGTTAGTCAAAACTATAGAAGATAAATATCACCTATGCTTGAGTATATAATTTTACACTTTCCCAACATATGCTAATGCTTGTAGCACATTATTACGCAAGTTAATTAATAAGTTACAACAAAAATTGCTGAATGATATTAATCTTCTCCAAGGCATGGATGCCAATTCAGCTAAGGTAAAAGTAAACATATATAAGTGGTTTAGAAGTAGACCTTTCGTGCTTATGCGGAAACGAAATCCTCATTTATTGTATAGAAGTCCAACTTGCAGCAAATATCACGTTCAGTTGCAGCTAAATCATTCAGATAATCTTGTGGCATGGTTGTACGCATGTGGCTCTTCCCTAGTCTCAAACGTTGAAAACTTCTCTCTCCTGATGTCACAAGTATAGGTACAGTAAAAGGGTGTGTAATTCAAGACTAAGGTGTAACTGAGCATCTCCAGAGGCTAACTGGACACAGCAGCTGGTAAAACATTTACAGCTGAGCGAATCTCGAGACTCAAGACTTTATAACTTATGTCACCCATTTTTAGAGCCAAGTGTTTGCACCTATCACTTAATGTATTCGTATTTATGCCCTTGTCTCTTCCTTTGGTAGAAAACAAGAGGTGATCCTCAATAGTCACGGCACTTGAACCTCTTTTAGTCAGGATTAGAGAAAATTAATCTATGAGACTTTTTTTTTTTATTAGCTATATTTTTGTGCGCCTGGAATACCAAGCGTGGGACACGCGTAATCCGATTTAGTTTTATTACTCATCAGAATCTCCACCAGCCCACCCTCGAACTGAAATTATTTTAGGCAGGCTAGAGAAAATTAATCTATGATACCTTGGGCGTGATCAAATACATCAGTTGAAAGGGCTTGACCTCCTCCTGAGTCCAAAACTGTAATTATATCTCGAATCGGTTAAGAGATGACGGAGCTATGAGCTAAACGTTTGCACTTCAAAAACTCGGAGCCATTCAATGAGCCGCTATGTCGCGGCTAAAAGGAAGGCCAAACAAACTGTATAAAAAAAGTTCCAGCTGAGAAAATTCATCATTCAGGCTAGTTGCAGCTGCATCAACTATTGAAAGGTAAGCAACTTGCTTAAACCTATCCTTTGGAGTTTTGGAGACATCATCTGGACATTCGTAGTCAAGCATTATTTTCTTCCTTCGGCTTCTCTGTTCTGGAAATGTTCTCTCGATTTCTATTTGGTCTGTGATTTTTCGTGCAAACTGGTTTGCTCTATAATATTGCAGAAATTTAAGCACCACGTTAATTTAATATTTAAGGGTCTTATGCTATACTGATGTCCTAGAGCAGTTTGCTTGCAAAATTGATTTGAAATAAAATATCGTGCCACACTACAAGACACGCTAGAGGGTGTTCTGAAAAGGCCTTCCGGGCAAGATTCCATACCGCTGAGCAGCTCACTGTTCTTTTTCTGAGTTGTGCGATCTACCAATGCTTCGAGGGAACCATGTACTTCACTGAGTTAATATCTAAATAATTTTAACACTTTCAATATGGCACTACCAGCTATCGTCTGACAGTTGTTTGGTGTTAAACTGTTTGAATATGGGCCTGCGCTAAATAGAAAAACTGGAGATAATATGAATACGCCAAAGCATTCCTAAAAATGTCACGGCAATACAGATGATTTATCAGCATCCATCTTTAAGCTATGGCTGCCACAAGACATTAATAATGTTTTTTGTTAATGTATCTTTGCTGCACACTCTACCTTTTGTTATTCTTATTACTTCCATTGTCATAACTCTATCATCTGCAGTCATCAGTTTTGACTTTTAAGATCTGTAGATGGTACAAGTCTCACATAGATCCTCGTCAGTACTTGCTTCAACAGCAAGAAATCCAGTAAAATGTTCCGATATTGACACATCAACTGATAATTCACAATTAACAACATGCAGTTGCTGGATGTGGCTGATGTCTGATGTGTTGTCCACGATCAAACCAAAATGCTTTGCTTGATTATTCTTTCACAAATAATCTGAATAATTCACTTTTCCAGTTGGGTAATTGATTCATTCTGAATATCTTTACTGGGGTAATGATTTGCATTTTCCCGTTTCTCCGCTTGTGGTGTTCGTTGGCTGTAGGCTCAAAAATTTTCAACAGATCAACTTAACCGAGAAAATTTCTTTTGCTGAGATCAGAAAGCGTTTATGTTATTTCACGAGGAGACAGATTGCATTCTGCCAAATGAAACTACGCAAATGAGTCTCGTAAAAACTGATTTCCAGTAATTATTTTCCATTGAAATTAGTTCCATGTTAACATTGTGTATAGTTTTATGACCTTTACTCCATACTGTCAGGTTCCCCCATGACTGCATGCTGTACACATGTGCAAGTGAATGTTCATGCTCTTTGAGACAATAATTGCTTGTTAGTTTGTTTGTTTTGATATTTCGCGCAAAGCTACACGAAGACTATATGCGCTAGCCTTCCCTAATTAGCATTGAAACTCTTGGACTACTCTTTTACCAACGAATACTGGGATTGGCCGTCACATTATAACGCCCGCACGGCTTAAAGTGCGAGCATGTTTGGTGGGATGCGGATTCGAACCCGCGACCCTCAGATTGTGAGTCGAGCGACTTATCCACCTGGCCATGCCGGGCACTTGTTTAGATATATATATTGGTGAATATAACAGTTCTTCGTAAAGTGTCTGAGATGTTTATCATTATTTTGTAGAAATTCAATGTAATTACTTGTTTAGGACCTCTTTCGACAAATTCACATATTTGCTGGTCATTTAGCTTTGCTGGCCAGTGCTAGGTCATCAGATAATATCTGAATTAGGGCTACCTCTGTGAGCTCACTTTATAATCCAGCGTCTTCTAATTCGGCCTGTACATTTTCCCTGATTTCAGTTGACATTTCACCAAGATCAAGAGATTCGAAAGTCGAAGCTGATATCTCAGTCGTTAATACACTTTGATCAACAGAGGTGAAGAATTTGACATTTTCTGCATTTTGTTATGTTAAGAATGTGGTTGATTTGGTATATGCCTCCAAGCATTTTTACCTTTTCCTGTGAAATATGGCGTTTAGGGGTACCCTTGAGATACGAAAATTTCATTACTGCCCTCTTTCTCCTTTCTCATTAATAAAGTGCTAAGGATGTACGCTTCAATTTTAATAACAGAACATAAACTATACTTTTACTCTATTGCTCTTTCTCTCAAGCGCAAAACCAATCCAACGCCATTTGATATTGTGGGCATATAATTAGCTAAATAGGAACGATTGTTCCGTGATTGTACGCAAGCAGCAGTGTCATTATGAATTCTCATACTGAAGATGTTTTTTTATAATACACAGATATGATGTTATTTAGCCTTGTTAGGGAGGCACCATGGCGTAGGGCCTTAGGTAGTTGCCCTTTGTGCTCCCCCCCCCCTATAATCAACACTGTAGGTTTATCTGTATATGTATGTTTATATTAGTGTAAGAAATATAATCACATTTTATAAGTAATAGATTTGTTCCCTTAGTAGTGATTAAAACAAGCTGCGTATATCACTTGTCCATAATATATAAAAAAAATACAAATACAAAATGGTAGTGACACTAGCACCATCTATTATCAATTTTATACTTTATGTGCTATTTAACAAAATTAAAAAAAAATAGTAATACCTGTCTATACATTTATGTGTATATGTATAACCAAAACATCAATACAAATAAGAAAACACTGGAATATCAGACTTTTTCCTTTCTTTTATTAATTTCTTCTACCGGTTTTGTGATGTCAAAGGTCACTCTTCAGAAAATAGTTTTACTGAGAATCTATATCAAAAACATACAAATATCGGTTTTCAACTAAACATATATAATCTAAATTAAATACATATACTTCCCAAATACACAAACATAAAATAAACTCCATGTGTAAATTAAGTAAATTACAAATGTTCAAAAATGAATAAAATTAATCAAAATACTTTTCTTTTTAAATTAAAATATTATTATGATTATACTTTTTCTTATTATTATAATAGAAATGCAATATATTTATCATATAATTTCATTATTTTACTTACTTTTTCTTTTGTGTAAGTTTTAGTTACTGTTTTCACGGTTTCACAATTCCTACTGACTTTACACAACCAATTACTTCTGCCCTCTTACACCTATATATTTAAAGTGGAAAATATAAGACATGGAGAACGAAGAGAGAGGTTATACAAAAGACCTATGAATTTTAGAAAATATAATAGAGTTCCAAAGAACTTTTAGGTAAACAGGATCATAATTTTTGGAAAATTGTTAATTTAACAGAAACTAATTTGCAAGAAAATGAAATACGATTATTATCAAAAGGATTAACATTTACTCTTACAACTAAACCTAATAAAATGCAACTAGCAGAATATATATATGAATTCAATACGAAATTAAGACTTAAAGAATATTTTTATGAAGTTTCAAACAAAGATGAATTGTTAGTAAAAGGTAAATCAGATTTTGATTCTGTTCAAAGAATATACCCGGAATTACAGTTAATTTGTCAAAAAATGTAATTGTATTCTGTTACTGAAAAACAAGCGAAGGATAATTTAACATTAAAAGAGTGGAAGTCGCTCTAGAAACTTAAAAGTTCTAACTTGATATTTAAGATAACTGATAAAGATAAAACATGGGTAATAATAACCAAACAATTTTATAATCAGATCGTTTATGAACATTTTAACGATACAAAGGTTTAAATAAATTGAGATCCGTAACTTTCATAAAAGAAAAATTAAATAATTTTGTTGATGAATTTAAGATGATATTAACAAAAAAAGAAATATATTCTATTTTAAGTAATTCAGAGGTTGGGTATTTTTATTTACTTCCTAAAATCCATAAATTAAAAGAGATTAATGAATTATTGTTCGAAACAAAAAGTGAATATATTCATATTGGAAAACCTCCCAATATTCCAGGAGGACCGATTGTAGGAGGAAATTCAAAAATTTCTGAACATTTAAGTGACATTTTAGACATATTGTTAAAACCTTTTTTATCTCATATTCCTAGTCTTATTAAGAATTATTTTGAATGTGTTGAAAAACTGCCAAGAAAGAAACATAGAAGAAAATCACAGTTTTGTTTATTTAGACGTAGTAGCTCTGTATCCAAGTATTAAACATGACTACGGACTTAAAGCTGTGGAAAGTTTTCTAGATAAATACAAAGAAGTAATTCATCCCAGGTTTAATCAAAGTTTTGTTTTAAAAACTTAGATATAGTTTCAAGGAATTGTTTGTTTTTTTACTTATGAGAAGCAAATCTTTCACCAAATATCTGGAACAGCAATGAGCACAAAAGTCACTCCAACTTATGCTTATATCACTATGGAATTTTTCGAATTACGATTATCTAATATACTATCTAATTAATTTGAATGTAATTTTGTATCTCATGTAAAAAAGGATTGGAAAAGATTTTCAGACGATTATTTTGTAATATGGAAAGATACTCAAGATATTCAAGTTAATAAAAGCTTGCCATTTTTAGATGTGTTGGTAATTGTTTGACCAGAAAAGGAAATTCTAACTGATATTTTAATAAGCCCACAAACTCTCATCAATATGTAGATGTTTTAGTAATCATTCCAAACATATAAAATTAAATATTCCTGCAAATCTTGGAAGTAGATTATATCGTTTGGTTTCCAATGAAGAACCGACAGGTAATAAAGCCTTTTGTTGTGACTCATTGTTCAAATATACATACTGATATTTCATTTGTTAATACACAATTAAAACAAATAGTAGAAAAAACTGAAACATGTATTCAAAAATAATAAAATTATTCTATCAAGAAGGCAACCTAAAAATTTGTATATATTATTGAATAAACCTAAAAAAAGAGATTTTTCTAAAGAAGGTATCTTCTGTTGTAACAGAAAGAACTGTGCTTTATGTTATATAAAATCTATCAAAACAATAAAGAATAATAACAAAGACTTTTTTATTATTAATAACTCATTTAATTGCAATTCTAGGAACGTAATATATCTTTTAAAATGTGTAAATTGTGGTTAGTTATATATTGGTGAAACAGATAATTTAATATTAAGGGTAAATTTACATAAATTCCATGTTAGATGTCCCGAAAAAAACCACTATTTGCCAAGTGATATTTTAATGGATGTATCTTGAGAAAATTTAAATTCTAAAAGAACCGTATTTTCATGTTTGCCTTTTTCGAAAAATATTTTATAAAATTTTTTGGTGCCACTTTAAATAGATAGTAGTAAGAGAGCAGAAGTAATTGGTTGTGTTTAGTTGTTATGGATTTCGCGCAAAGCTACACGAGGGCTATCTGTGCTAGCCGTCCCTAATTCAGCAGTGTAAGACTAGAGGAAAGTCACCTAGTCATCACCACCCACCGCCAACTCTTGGGCTACTCTTTTACAAAGGAATAGTGGAAGTGATCGTCACATTATGATGCCCCCATGGCTGAAAGGGTGAGCATGTTTGGTGTGACTGGAATTCGAACCCGCGACCCACAGATTGCGAGTATAATTAGAATAATATTTTAATTTAAAGAGGCAAGTATATTGATTGATTTAATTTATTTTTGAACATTTGTAATGTACTTAATTTATACATGAAGTTTATTATATGTTTATACATATGGAAAGTATATGTATTTAATTTAGATTATTGATGTTTAGTTGAAAACCGATAGTTGTGTGTTTTTCGTTATAGATTCTCAACAAAACTATTTCCTGAAGCGTGACCTTTGACATCACAAAACCGGTAGAAGAAATTAATATAAGAAGGAAAAAAAAATCATACGCGTATATAATATATGTACTGCATGTTGTATAGGATTTTGTCATATGTTATTTTAATTAACATGGATTGTGTTATAATATTTTTCAACTAGATACCTCAACTAGGAATTATCAGTTTATTAGAATACTCTATACCAAAAATTTGTCTTTTAAAATCTTCTGAATATAATTCAAGTTTTAAAAAATACTGTTATTTCTAGCTCGAATTTTAAGTAAAATTCTACTTAACCTAATAAATGTGCCAAATAGCTTACTTCGATTTTTTTATCAACAAGTTTTATAACGACATACAACTAATTATTTTAAATCACAATAACAAACAAAGGTTAATACGCTTGATCATTCAAATTGCTAATATACTATTAGAATTTTCTGAAAGTTTAATGAATATGAAAACAAATTTTAATCTCAAGAGCCTTTTTTTTTACATCATGCACCCTAGTGGCTCAATGGTAAGTATTCGGGCTCATACCGCAAAAAACAAAAAAAACAGGATTTCGATACTCTTGGTGAACACAGGTGGTCTATTGTGTAGCCTTGTGCATAACAACAAAATTTTACATCGTAGTTCAGGTTTTATTTTTAACGTAGGTGAATTACTGATCAAGTGTATTATTACTTATAAATAACTGCACTGTGCAGCATTTGAATGACTCTAAAAACTTTCAACTTCCTTTGTTTTATACCTCATTTTCCAGCAACTAAAGATCAAAGACAAAATATTAGACAAAGGCGTTTTACTAATAATACAGATGTCCACAGCTGCTGTATTTAAGAATCAGTTTTTATAAAAATGAGGGGTAATTAATTGCTCTATGCACTTAATCAAGATGACTAATTTCATAAACTAAACTTTTTTTATAATCTAAATTTTATATGCTTCTAATCACGATAAAAGTTTAATGAACAGTGTCATTAGAGCCCTTAGAAACGCAATGTATTTTATAAACATGACTTTAGATTTATTTGAAATGTTATTTTTATTCACGTCTGATTTTAGGGCTGTTTGCTTTCACGAGATGCCAAATTACTCTTGACATTGAAGATTTTAAAACATTTGTTCAGAAAAGTTGTTACAACACTACTCGGGAAAATGTATTACATCCCAGCGGACAGGAAATCCCACTGGCTAATAGCATGGAGAATTTCATTTCAATTGTGGAAAAACTAGAACTTAACAACACTGATTGGACAGCTGTAGACACTGCTAAAATGTTACTGAAAAGGTAAGATTGTAAAGGAAACGGTAGCTTTTAGAAACAAATTACTTTCTTGTAATGATTATAGACAAGAAATAGATCTTAGAAACGATTTTCAAGCCTTATCCTACTTGACAAGTTGCGATCGCTATCCGCTGTTTTTTTTCAAACATCTAAACTACAATGAAAAAGGCACGATAGTATAAATTTTTAATGCATCTTTTTAAAGCTAATTAATAATAATAATAATAATACGTTCTTAATAAATGGTAATTCATTGTGATAAGTAAAAAGGTGTCTTATGAATATGTCTAGAAACATTTCTTATAGATTTATAACAAGCTGAAGAAATTAATCAAACATAATTCAGAATATAAACAAGTGTTCTTAAATACATCAAATCTTATAAGATTTTAAAGTATTTTATTGACCTATATTTAATACTACCAGCTCCTACATTTTTTTTATTCTGACCTACACTTACTAGGAAATTAGCTATGAACTTCGGGAAAAAATGTATTTTTGTCTTAATAAATCCCACTACTTCAAAGTTTCGTCTTACAGTATTGAGAGCGACAGTTGGTGTAAGATGCTTGACTCGCAGAATATATTTCATCTTTAATGTGAATTATTAATTTCCACTGGCAGTAAACCGATATCACTGCGCCTGGATGGTGCGGTCCAATGTATAACGAAAGGCATATTTACTCCAACACTTCTCTATACGGTTCAACAGTGTTCAGTTTATCCTAAGAATATCAATAATAGATAAACATCATAAAAGATTTTCAGCAAAAAAATATATTTTTAGCCTAAAGTGAGAATAAAGATTGCCACACTTTTTATTAATTACCTTACCTTGAAAAACAAAACGCATATCAAAGGACATTAAATGAACATCGTCGCACGTTAGAATGTTTCTTGGACGAAATATAATGAACGTTTTTAGAATATTGATAAGTCAAATTATTAACTATATTTGTAGGAAGCATATTTTAAATAATTCAAAAGCTGGATGTTTAATAAGCTAAGTGCATCAAAGTAAATTGGATTTTTTTTTCAAGAAACTGAAATAAAATAAAACACAAACTATATAAAAATGGTATTTATGATATTGTTTTGCCTTGTTAGGGAGGCACCATGGCGTGGGGCCTTAGGTAGTTGCCCTTTTTGCTCCCCCCTAAAACTGACACTGTAGGTTTATCTGTATATGTATGCCTATATTAGTGTAAGAAATATAATCACATTTTATAAGTAATAGATTTGTTTCCTTAGTAGTGATTAAAACAAGCTGCTTATATCACTTGTCCATAATATATAAAAAAAATACAAATACAAAAATGTAGTGACGCTAACACCAACTATTATCAATTAAAATAAAATCTGTTAAAATAACGAAATATGTATTTTTCGTTAAGTTGATTATGAAACAATGACTTAGTGTTACATATTACAAACTATCAATTTAATTGGCTAATTTGGATGGGGAGCTTTAGGTAAACCGTACATAATAACTGAATATGTGCCAACATATTGAATTTTATACTTCGCAAGCTTTGAAAAATTACAAAATTTATTTCTTTGGTTGAAGAAAAATTATTTTAGTTTTTGTTAAGATGTTAGGTAGGTAGCTAGATGAAGATATCATTACCTGATAGTACGTATTTAGAAAACAAAAAGATGGTTAAAATCATTAAGAAAGGAACACATTTTGAATGAAACTGTCAGCTTTGCAATAGCTTCGTAACAAGTTCCTTAACAAAGAAGTTAGTTTTTAATTAATTTCGAAGAAATTAAAAAAAGGGATTTTAAACATTTTCTGTTTAGCAAACTGATGTGCTATGATTTTGGTTCCTCTCTTTCTTCCATAACTAAGTTGACAACTAACAATTTCAAGATATTAAACAAAGTTGAAAATCGTTTGTGTATCTATATTTAATTAAGACCTGATTTTAACCTATGGATAAAATTCTCTCGTCAAAGTGTTTCTGTATCGTTTGGCAACACTATGTCCTCATTGTTACTTATGCAATATTGGAATTGCCATCATGAGAACGTTGTTCAAACACTGTGAGATTTATTTAAAAAGACTTGATTTGTTTCATTGTGCGCTGAAGTTCAGGCGAGCAATCCGAATTCATGGACAGGACAGGTAAAGCGCAGATTCAAACTCAACATAAAAGAAACACTAAAATCAAAAAGTTTAAACCAAATATCATCCAGAATCAGTCTTTATTCTCATAAAATAATTTTAATTTCTGTGGTCTATTTTTTTCTTATTCTAATTATTTCTTCATATTTGTATTATTTGTCAGTAGAACAGTGAAGAAGTGGCAATGTTGACATTAATGGTGACATTTTAGATTAAAAATATGATCATGGGAAAAATTAGACTGTTTGTTAGGTTTTTACATAGATTATTGCTTGATCGAGTGCGAGAAAAACTGCAAGATTCTAAGAGTTGAAACAATTTAAAATTAGCTGATTTTTAAAGTAACATATTTGTTTTATTCGTCTCTACAAATCAGCTTCTGTCTCATTCCTGTATCAACCACCACCATCACAGTAAGAAATATCGTAGTGTAATTATGAACTTCTTATTCATGACTTTAAATCTTTGGTGGGGGGCTACAACTGTCGATAAACAAATCTCTCGTCACGTGCCAACGTGAGTCAGTTTGGTTTTCTTTTAGGTGCCCCTCCAGTGGCACAGCGGTATGTCTGCGGACAGGTTTCAATCGACGTGGTGGGCAGAACGCAGATAGCCAATTATCTAGCTTTGTGCTAAGCTTCAAACAAACAAATCCTTTAGGTATTTTTAATAATATCTTGTTTCATGTATTTCTGATATAGAAATGTTGTATAGAATACTTTGGTGAATAGTACTAGTACTATTGCGGCTGGTAAAGAATTTGATCCAAGAAGCAACAATGAGTTGTAACTGCTACTTTCGGGAACTCAAAGCATTTGTTACCTATTTGAAAAATTACTGACCTGTCTTCAGACAAATAAATATTATCTATATACATGTGCCACGTGACTTCGCCCCCTCCCCCCGCAATGCAAGTAGAGTATATGTTTGTTAGTAATAATACATATGAACTCAGACATTTTAAAAAAAAAACATTTTTTATTAGATTTAAGATCAGAGGAAGTCATGTCAGGTATCCTAAGTAGTCTTATTTGGTGTGTTTTTAAACTTATATTTTAACGAGTGCCTCACCACTGTGGCTTAGCGGTAAGTCTGAGAGCTTCTACCGCTAAAACTGGATTTCGATACTCGTGGTGGGCTCAGCACAGATAGCCCATTGTGTAGCTGTGCATTTAACAACAAAACAGTACTTTAACAAGCATTAATAGTACGACTCATACACTCGCAGTAAGCGAAGTTTCGTACCAATTTATCTTGTATAGAACTTATACTTCTGTAACTGTTTTATCCTTATTACTATAAATTACCTAAGCATACCACTCAAAATTTGTGATTTTTCAGTTCAGCTTGTTAGTATTATTGTTTTGTAGTAGATTTATCATAATATGTGTTTTTTGTGGATGGATTTTGTAACAGTTAAAACATAAGTATCGTATTATATCTATTAATTTACTAATTTCATCATTTTTCTGTGATTTTCTAGGTTTTCAATCGATGGACTAGAACAGTCTGGAATGACATTGAAGCAAAACGAATTTGATATACCCAAAACGAAAATTATGAATGCCTTCTTTAAAGGAGAATCCATAAAAAGTGAAAGGTTTCCAGAAGAACATCTTACCGAAAATGAAAAATGTTCTCTGTATTACATGTTATCATATACGGTCAACAGCACACTCAGACCAGGACTTGATCAATTGGATGTTACTTACCGAGTGCCGCTATCGTAAGTTGGCGTCTTTCTTTTTTTTCTTTTTTTTCGTATTTAACATTTGTCTATCGATTTTCTCCAACACGTGACATTGTCTCAATCTAAAGAACTAAACACTATTCCTGAAAGTAAAATTTTCTTTCCATGAATGTATTTGGTCAACTACATTATCAATGTATAAAAAAGCGAAACATGAGAAAGTTAAGGAAACTCCTTTAACTTTAACATTTGTTTCCACACACGATACAATTAGTTCGAATAATAAACAGGGGAGGAGTCATAGGACGTATCCAATTTTCCAATATAATAGTCTTTCTGATTTTTACGAAAAAGTTTTGGGTCATCATCTACAAAAGAAGATTTGAGTTTCAGAAAGATTATTACTAGCTTTGTATAGAACTCCAAGTAAACAGCTGACACTAATCTTTGTGTTTGTGTATTCTCACCTGTTACAAGACGAACCACATTTTGCTTACAACGGCTGGGATACATTTTGTTGCATGTCTATCTCTGGATGATCCTGATACTCTGGCTGGATCTATAATTCTTTGTTTTTCAATGTCATTAAATACAAGAGATATCCCCGTCTTGGAAATTCTAAATCCCAGATCTTGACAGGAAATTTACTTTTTTTAGTAGTATATATTAAGTAAATATATGGGTGTGTTGGGCTAAGGATTCTTCTACAGTAGGTGTCTGTGACTTGTTGGCGATAAATCTAAAAAAAATCGAACAACACGCACTCCACTTGTTTTCAAAACAATATGTATATACATTCGGAACAAGTCAAACGTGTGTAAAAAAATTCCTTACACTATAGAGGTCATGATTATTTCTTAAACACTATATAGTTTTCTTCTTGTTGTCAAAAGTCCACTTAAGCCTATTCAATTGCTTTAGAATTCAATTGACAAGCCGAACTATTTTTCACTATTTCTATCGCCAGACTATCCGTGTATAGTTCACTTATGTTGTCGTTGAGTTAATGCAGTTGTATCTTATACTTCAAAAGTCGTCTGCCTTTTCTCAAAGACCGCTCAGGCTGGTTCAATTACTTTAGAACACCCTTTGAAGAGGGAACCTATTCTTCTTATTTCTTACAAAATTGTTAATCTCACTCTAACATATCAACCGTTAAGCCTTTCACTCCCACGACGATTAAGTTTGCGTTTGACTTTCTTCTGACCGAATTTCTATTTCCTGTGACTTTAATTTACTCTCTTCCACTCTTTTTTTTCGTCTGCTGGTATTTATACGTCTATCACTTAGGCCTTCTATAAATCTCTATGTCCTCGACATCAATAGATTGCACGCGACGACAGCCTTGACATCAATGAACTATAAACTATAACCAAACTTGTCAAAGCTATCGCCTTTAAAATAATTGCTTTTAACTCTTTTGTTATGAAAAAAAACTAAAAAATCATGAAATATTCACTCACAAAATAAATGAATTAATAATACCTACACTAAACAGTCTTTTATATCTGACACTTCTGAACGCATCTTTATGAAGTAAATGTACGAATATTTTACGTCGGAAAGCTATCACATACCCTTCCCAAAAGCGACCAATTTTCGGTGGCATAACACTACCTATAAAACGTCAAATAATGTCAAAGTGTAGTTCCGAAACATGCCCTTCCACTGCAACTTTATATTAGCTGTAATTGTTATATGAGGTGCTGATTTGCATATATTTAAAATAATTTTAATATAACGTACTCATACCTCTGTAAGACAAAGTTTTCATTTTTGTCTATCTATCTATTTTTATACAAGTAACAGCTTATATAATTTATACCTATGACATCTGTATAAATGAAATTGAGTTTTGATTGCTATTTCTGTTATAAACACATACTTGTAAATGGAACTTAAAATGTCTTTCGTTACAGCTTGTACTTCACACGGCAAGAAAACAATCCATGCAATGATTAGAAAAGAGATATTTGTTTAACATTCATCATAAGTTGTATAATGCTCAACCGGTCTAGATAAAACGTTTGAAACGTATTGTGAAATACACTTCGAATACAAAACTTGTAACAGACTCTGACAGATTAGGAGTGGTGCAGCCACGAATAACTCAAATCAAAACCTTAGCACTTGTAGATTATAAACTTTTGAATATTTGAATCTGCTTCATCGTTTTACTAAAACGCTACTTATTTCTTTCATTCTAAGTCCACTTTCATAATATAATTATAGAAAACAAGCTCTAGGAGCACCTACCCAAAGAGCCAGACACCCACGTGAACAAGGTGTAGTGAGTATCGAGAACATCGAGGATCAGGCTATTTCCTTGGGAAAGGTGTTAACTGGTATTGCAGCATCTAGTTTAAATGATGGAAAGACTCTATCTAACGATATTGATAAACATGACATCAAAAATTGGAAACCGCTAGTTGCACTTACTATTGCAGGTAAGTTTATAATCTAACAGAGTTAGTTTTATCTAAATATTTTGCAAATAAACAACATAAATTTGTAATTTAAAATGTAGCACCTCATTACGTAAGCTATCATTTATATTATTATTATTACTAGCTCCTGTGGACGGAATTTATGTAAATTTATGATTATTGAAAGGTTATCTTACAACATGAAAAGTTACATTCCTTATATGAAATTGTAAAAAAAACACAAAAAATAGACAATAAAAACTAGCAAAACCCAAAGTGGAAAAATGTACATTTGTATGTATCTCCCTATGCATCCAGTGAACCTCCATACCAAATTTGGTGAAGATCCATCTACATCATAACTACATGTTTCTATGGTTACTCATTGTGATTTTGTATACAATCAAAAGCTTCAGACATCGTACCTAGATGTTTTAATATATAAAACATTGTTATTTTGGTTAAAATCAGAGACTTTAGTTATCCTGCCATAATGTATCTCCGACTATTTCAATATGAAAGGCTTAACGAAATGAGTGCTAATTACTTGTCAACGAAAGATTACTTGTTTTCTTATAGTCGATCTATAGATAAAAATCGAACAAATTTCTTTGATATCGTACTATGTTGGATAAGCTATATAAATATAATAGTACTCTCTGTTGTCTGTCATGGAACTACTTCATAGGGCGTCTGAAACCTGTGATTGTATCCAAAATAATAATGGATAACCATGGAAACATCTGGATATGATGTCCGAAGCCTTCGGTTGTATCTAAGATCACAATGAGTAACCAAAAAAATCTAGATACAATCTCTGAAGTCTTTGATTGTATCGAAAACCACAAAGCGTAAATAGAAAAATATCTGGGTATGATATCTAAAGTAGCTCTTAGTATTCAAAATCAAACAAGATAACTAATATATCATATCCACATGTTTCGCCAGTTATCACATCTAATTCTTAAGATATTTAAACATCAAATGTTTCAATTTTCTTGTTAATAAGCTATAAATACATTGAATGTTAACATCTTTTCAAGTGCAATTTTTGCTGTAATTTGACATGACTGAAGAATGAATTTTATGAGCACATAATGTGCTGAACCAAAGTAGGCATAACAATCCATAAATACCAAAACTCTATTAAAAGATTATCAGATTCACAGATAAATTTTCTAAAGCTTGTCCAGATATATAAAAATAGCATGTTCATTTGTAATAATCTGGAATGCAACTATGACTCTATCACTCTGATATGTAATGATCCCTTATGATCCTTATGCAGGTACTTTTTAATTTATCTTATGTATTATAATTCACAAGATCTAAGCAACATACGATCAAATCATCATCAAAAATGAAGAATTTTCTTCACAAATGAATATAGAAATATTGTTGTTGAAATTTTATTTGCGTTGCATGACGTATAAAAGGTAGGCACAGAAGAGGAGTATATTATAAAGACAGCTTGGGTAAATATATTACTGTTGAAATTGTTATCAATGACACGTGATAAAGAAATCAGAGTATACATTTTATAAGGTGCTACGTCGAAGACTAAGCCTCTCTCACTAACCTTCTAACAACTCTATCTCAGCGAGAAGCGAAACACTTTTACCAACTGATGAATACATCAAATCTAAAGTTAGTTTTCTGAATGGTCTAAAACAATAGTGCCTAAAATCTTCCTCAGATCTTTTTAAATTGGATTTACAATTGTGAATAGTGTGATATTGCAATGAAACATTTATTAAATTATGAGAAAGATCTCGTTGCCATGGTTACTAGATACTAATCTCAAACTTGTTTTTGTTTTCCTACGTTTCGGCCACTAATTAGCTGCCGTCTGTGGTGGTATTGGCCAAGATTTGTTTTTAAGTGGTTTGGTTTGTACTGTCTGCGATCGTTTTATGTTATGGCTTATGAATACCATTCTGACTTTATGCTCTTTAAATATCCACTGTTTGTTTTCAGAGAGACCCTTGACTTATGTGTATTTATAATTTTCTTCCTACTAAATCTTGGAATTAATCTTCTTTATTTTCTTGTTCATTAAGTGTTCCGACTATACACTGTTGGGGTGGTTTGATTTATTGTAGACTTAATTCCCCGAATTTGTGGATTT